TCATCATCTCCTTTGCTGGTTTCATCCTCATCAAGTTCCTCATCTGCACTTCCCGCTGCAACCTCTCTTGCAATCTCCTCCACCACTCGGTCAACATCATCAGCTTCTTCAGCATCGTTACCAGCTGCATCACCAACTGTTTCAACCCCTTCTTTAGCAGTGGCATTCTCATTCCCCATCCCCTTAACTTTGGCGTTCAATCCAATCTGCAATTTGAGTAGCTCATCATCAAGAGCCTTCATTAACGTCCTCTGGCTTTCTTCAAGCTTCTTCACAAAACGAGCCCTCAACTCCTTCAATGCCTGCATACACAGTAAATGAAGATATCAAAAAAATTGTTCACTGTTATCAAATGCCAGTATCTCACTGGTCATTTCTAAATAAAGTCTTGTCATCTCAAGTATCAACCTTGCTAATAGACTGACTTAAACTCAGGTCACGTATATTTTCTAAGTTCCCACATACCGGATCTAAAGACTGCAAAATTGAACTGTCCTCATGTCCTGCTGAGTATACCTCGCTGCCACTGCTTCCATGCAATATTCCCATGCTGCTGCCTCTCTCTTTCTCCACCCTCTCCTTTATCTTCTCCTCGGTCCAATATTCAATGGCGCTTGTTGAACCCCGGTCAACAGACAATCCCAGCGGGAAACGCTCAACAAAATACAGCTGCAAAACCAAATAAAGATAGGTCACACTTCTGCAACAATAACAAAAGACAAAAATATAGTGAACCATAAGAAAAATATTGACTTACCAGCAGCAAATAAAGACACCCTCCAACATTGCAGGTTCCTTTCTTCTTCTTCTTTGTCATCTTCACAAAGTCTCCCATTTCCTTCCACAGGTTCTTGATTATGTACGTTGACCAATCATATTTCCAAAACCCATTCATCGTGTGACGCATCACTTTCAACAAACGTATATGTACAGTTGTGCTTGACCCAGGACATAGAAAAGCTCCAACTGTATAAAGCATAAATAGGAACTCAAAATTGTCGCTTTCTTCCCCAGATAATATCCTCTTCAGTATCTGGGTAAATGGAACCTTCCAATAAGTGTCCTTCAACCTCTTGTATTCCGGGTCATCCTCACTAACATCAGATTTCACTTCCTCCCCACTGTCAGGTACACCTAGAAACTCATGCGCATCTTTTGCCTCAATTGCCTGCCCTTGCCCTCTAATGGTCAAAAAATGCGTTGGTGGGTCATAGCATCTCAACAATGACACAAGTAGATCACGTGGAAGTTGCTTCACATTCACATTAAGCAAGTTCCCAAATCCCATCCTCTGAACTTTCTGCCTCAACCGCCTGTTCTTCTTCACATATTCAGCCAATGATAGAAATCCGGGCAATGAGCACCGGGTGTACAAGGGAACATCATACTTCTTCTTCTCACCTTTCTGTGGCTTCGTTTTCCTTGCCCTCTCATTATACCTATCTTTCTCTTCTTCACTCAGGGCCCTCCATGCCTTCCCCACTTCAATTTTTTCTTCTCTTGCGTTTTTACACTTCTCACCTCGTTTAGCCATATACTCCCTTCTGAACAACACAAGCCCACTGTGGACTCCTTTGCTTGTGGACCCTTCCCCTTCTTCCAACACCATCTCGTATAGTTCTGCAAAGTCATCAAGGTACCATCATTAAATCATAATTTTAATACATTTACTACACATCTAGTTCTTTCCAGATTCGTTATGGTCATTTCCAATTAATTCATTGTCATTTACAATATGGCCATTACAGAGTGACAGTAAGGATGCTGGTATGAATATGGTCGTTTCCAGTTAATTTATTGTCATTACCAATATGCCCATTATAGACTAACAGTTAGGTCAGTACTATGAATATGGTCATTTCCAATTAATTCATTGTCATTTACAATATGGCCATTACAGAGTGACAGTAAGGATGCCGGTATGAATATGGTCGTTTCCAGTTAACTTATTGTCATTACCAATATGCCCATTACAGACTAACAGTTAGGTCATTAATATGAATATGGTCATTCCCACTTAATTCATTGTCATTACCAACATGGCCATTACAGTCTGACAGTAAGGTCATTACTATGAATATGGTCATTTCAAGTTCCTTCATAGTCATTTACCAGTTTGGTATTGTCATTTCCAGTTTATTCATATAATCTTTCCACTCATTCAGACAGTAAGGTCATTACTATGAATATGGTCATTTTAGGTTCGATCATAGTCATTTACCAGTATGTTATTGTCATTTCCAGTTGTTCATATCATTTTTCCAGTCAATCAGACAATTTTCCTACTGATTTCAAAACCCATTTTTCCAGTTCTCAACTACGTTATTAAAAACAGAATAGCTTGCCATAGCGACTCAGCATAAACCCTTAATCGCCATTCTTGTCATTCACAAACTTCATCGCGTCATATCTAAATATTGCCCTATCATTGATTCCCAGACTCACCCAGAAACGTCGACCACAGCACGAAACTTAAATGCCTGAACTTACCTCACTGAAATGCTGTTGATGCTTGTTAACTGCAATGGTGAATCACCGTGCGCCAACCTTCGTCTTTCCACACAATCAGTCAGACGCGACCACGTTCGCCCTTCGAACAGCACGCCCTTCCACTTCCAACTCCTCTGCTCTCTTACGCACACACTATTTCGGGGTCCTCAACTGTCCAGCTTGCCGGCGTTTTTAGGGCAACAATGGGGATGGTGGAAGCGAGAAACCGGGAAGCACGACGGTCAGTGCAGGAGTGTTCGCGCGCGCCTTCTCTCTCTCCGCTTTCAAACGCTGACTGACAGGGGCTGTTTTGTAATTGTGCAACATTTGCATAATCCCAAATCAGGCAACACTTCCCTATCTGGTAATACATTTGCTTAGCTTCCCATTCTGGCATTTTATTATTTCAGCCTTCTTTATCTGTCATTTTCCCTTTTTTTTTGGGGTCAACGAATAACTCTATTAACAACTATTCCTATTATAATTCATAACAACCCTTATGAAATTTGCTGTTTATTTGTATGAGAAGTAGCTTTTGATTTTGACAAATTAATGTTCCTCCCGTCTTTTTTTATAAGTAACAACTATTATTTTTTTATTGTTCCTAAATATAAGCAATATTTACAAGTTATCTTAAATTTTTGTAGCGAATTTTCTATTTTTCCCCATTAATTATTTATTTTAATACCAAATATATTTATTATTTCATTTTCTAAATTATTATCTCTCTCTCCACCCACATTCTCTCTTTCATAATTCTCTTTATTTTAATAATTTTTTATTCTCTCTCTTATATGCTCTCTTTTCCTAAAAAATAAGGGTATTTTAAAGAATTTTTTTAATTTCTACTTATTTATTATTTTAAACTAATTTTTTGATTTACCTGATGAAATTTAAGGTTGTTTATAAAAAGAAACGAACAGAGTAACTTAATTAACAACTACCTTGTTCTTGGCGTAAGAGCTTCAGTAGCAATTAGTGGAAATGATCTCCGATGACCACGTGACTACAAAGGTATTTTGGCAAAGGAGCTTCAAAACTTATATACAGTTACGGACTATGAGCCTATAGTGTTATTTTTTAAATGATTGGCACGCATGGTATCCAATGAACTCCCAAGCAATTAAAAAAAAAGAATGTATGGGATAAAATTGACTTTTTTTGTGCATCATTGAATAGTAAACTGAAAATAGAACAACAATGCCAATTTCTTATACTTTTATATTTTATATTAATTTTTAAATTGATTATGGATTTTTATTTTAATAAAAACCACAGTGTTATTAAGAAAAATCTAAAAAAATTAAGAAATTTAGAATTAATTAAAAATAATTATTGAAAAAAAGAGAACAATTAGACAATAGAATCCACCTGTAAAACCACATCCATTAACAATTGATGATTGGTTTAGGCGGATAAGAATGCAATTGGATTAATATTAATTTTGGTTCTCACTTCTCATAACTTGATCGAATTTTGATCTCTATAGTTTCACAAGAAATTGATCTAAATTAACACTGTTAAATACAGAAATTAAAAAAAAAATCCTTAAAAATACAGTGACTAAAACACATTAATTTTTTTCGCTTTTAATGAATTTTGATTTTGATTCCTATATTTTTAACTAATTTTGATTTTGATTCTTATACTTAAAGGTATTAACTAAAAGTTTGAGCTATTAAATGCGGTCATGCAAACCAAGTTCTTATAAAATCATAGGGATAAAAAATCATAAATTGAAATTATATGAAAAAAACCAAAATTTAATTAAATAGTAAGGATGAATAATGATATTAAACCAATGCCATTTAAATCTATTTCCAATGCCAAATTGTTTGAGACGTAATTTATAAGTGCCTCAAACATTTATGAGTTTTGTGCCTTATTTATTTCATGAGATCTAATTGATATAGAATTTTTTTCCCCTAAATATAAGGTAATATAAATGGAAAGGTATTTTTAATCTAAAATAAAAATTTATTGTAATTATATTTAAAATTATATTTAATTTTTAACAATTTTATTCTAACCATTTTATTTATTTATTTATTGTGTGTAAAAGGATGATGATACAAAATCTGGAAAAATATAACATGTGGGTTGGTGCTCCGCCAGCCACTGCGGCCCACCTGGTTCGCCGGTCGGTCAGAGGATTCATGTTTCACGAATTCCTGCTCCACACATGGACCAAGACATGACTTCACCAGTTTGTTTTTCTTCTTTTTTCCTTCAAAACCTCCAAAAAAAAAAAAAAAAGGAATGCTTTTTAGGATTTTCAAATATACACCAACATATTACGTATCTGATGACTTGCGGTCAATTGGGGATCCCATGCCCTGATTCCAGTATCTAAACTATTAATTTCCTCATAAATGCTCCCATTCTTTTATTGCCCATTTGCCCTTTTCTTTTTCTTTTTAATTTCCTTTTTTTCTCTCCCGTTAGTCCTTCTGTCTTCTATTGGAATCAGAATCAGCATCGCAACGTCGGATTTATATAAAGCCTCCTCCAATGTTGCCATTGGCATTCCCATCTCATGCTTCTTGCTTCATCCTTTCTTGTTCTTCTTGCTGCGTCACCCATTCTGAGTGTTTTTTTTTTAACTGCACTCTTTTTCGTTCTTCTTTCTAGTCTCTCTCCATTTCTCTCTCTCTCTTCTCTCGCTCTACTTACCAGAGCCCAGAAAGTTTCAGCCTTTTAGCAAACCATAACAAAGCATAAGGATTTCTCTGCTCTTCGTAGTTCTGATTCTTGTGAAGAAATGAAGTACGTACTGGTCACTGGTGGGGTTGTTAGCGGCTTGGGGAAAGGGGTTACTGCGAGTAGTGTTGGAGTGCTTCTTCAGGAATGTGGCCTTCGAGTTACTGCTATCAAAATTGGTACCTTCTCCTTCTTCTTCTTCTTCTTCTTTCTCTTCCTCCTCCGCCTCCTTCATCTTCGCCGTGGTTGCGGTTAATAAAGTATATTTTTTTGGGATAGAAAAACGGGTAAAGTAAGTTCGCTTTTCATTGAACTTAGAAAAGTTCATTAAGTATCCTGCTTGCTTTTCTTTTTTGTTGTCGTCTAGGAGTTATTCCTTTCTTTTATTGTTTCAAAAACCCAGTAAAGTTATTCTCACCCGCCCAGCTTAAGCTTATGATTCTTTACAAGCTATGAAAACTACAAAGAAGAGGCTTCCTGCTAGTGTACGTTGAAAATCAGACATATGTCTCAGTGATTCAGTGTTTATTGTTTTATATAATTTTTGAAAACTCCTCTTTACTTGAAAATGAATTTTACACAAAAGCACTATCATGTTTACTTTTAAATGGTCTCAACAAGCTATTGTTCCTTTTCCTTCATCCTCATTGTTTACCGGTTCCTCCTTTGTCATCCAGATCCTTACTTAAACACAGATGCTGGGACAATGTCTCCTCTGGAGCATGGTGAAGTGTTCGTACTAGATGATGGTGGTGAGGTAGATAACTTGCTCTGATTTTGTTTTTTTTTTCTTTCTTTAAAATCTGATTATAGGGGTCAGTCCAAAAAGCAAAAAAGAGACAGAGTCAATTTACTTCAATTTTTCTCGGAGGTCAGAGTTCGTGTAATTCATCAAAAACAGGTCTTAACAATGTGAAATCATGACCTTCTTTGTGTTCAAAGGTGGACCTGGATCTAGGAAACTATGAGCGCTTCCTGGATATCAAGTTGACTCGGGATAATAACATCACAACAGGAAAGATTTACCAGGCAAGTGTCTCGGATACTGTAAATTATCCAACACCCTGTGCTTATTATCATGGAGGATTCTGCAGATCATTAAAACAAACTCCATCCTGATTGATCTTTAACTTTACTTTTCATTTTCTGCTTGCGACAGTATGTCCTTGAGAAGGAGAGGAAGGGAGATTATTTGGGGAAAACGGTTCAGGTTCTGTCTAACCAATTCTACTTTGTTTTGTTTTTAACAACGTCATGAATAACATCTTTGAATCTTTGAATATTTCTAATATTGTTATTATTATTTTTTTAATCAATCTGCAGGTTGTCCCTCATATTACAGATGCTATTCAGGAGTGGATAGAGCGGGTGGCCCACATACCAGTAGATGGAAAGTCAGGTCCAGCTGATGTTTGTGTTATAGAATTGGGTGGAACCATAGGTACACTTCGAAACGTTCCTGTTTCCTCTTGGTTAGGATGATATTCTTGAGTTATGTTGATTTATGTTAACAACTCTTGATGCAGGAGATATTGAGTCCATGTCGTTTATTGAGGCACTAGGACAATTCTCGTATCGTGTAGGTAAGAATACTCAATTGATGGCAAGTCTATGCAAGCATCCATGTCCATTCCTTCCAGTTAGTCTCAATTATTCAAGTCTAACATGCTGCCCACGACAGGTGCAGGCAATTTTTGCCTAATTCATGTCAGCCTTGTTCCTGTTTTGAGTGTTGTTGGCGAACAGGCATCATCCTTGAACTTGATTCCTTTGAGATCTGTTTGAAAAATGATTTACTTTCATTTTCATCTGAATGACGTTGATTATGTTGCTCGTGTTTAGAAAACAAAACCAACCCAGCATAGTGTTCGGGGACTAAGAAGTCTTGGGCTGACGCCGGATATCCTGGCATGTCGGAGTACAACGGTTGGTTTCTCTTTCTCCCCGCCCCCCCTCCTTTCATCACCCTCTTGAAGATATTCACAGAACACACAGAGACACTCATGAGGGACATACATCACAAGCATGCACACAAATTCTTAACTATAAGCTTTGATCTAGGATTCTGAAGGTAGTTGCTTTGCAGGCACTTGAAGAGAATGTCAAGGGGAAACTGTCTCAGTTTTGCCAAGTTCCGGTATGAGATCAAATGGATAAGTCTAACTTTGTGTATATAACTTGAAATAGTTCTCTCTCCTTTGCAAGAGTATGCTCTAATGAAGTTGAGTTTTTACAGGCAGAAAACATTGTTACTCTTCATGATGTTTCCAACATCTGGCAGATTCCTTTACTTTTGAGAGTAAGTCTACCTTCTGAAATTCTGGACTTCAATTCTTATTTCCAGGCATCATTTCTCACTATATTTATCTTCTTGTGGTCTAGGAACAGAGAGCTCATGAAGCAATATTTAAAGTGCTGAAACTCAATGGGTTTGTCTCTCAGATTCTCTCAATTTCCTGATACTGAATTTATCACAACAGAAAATTTTTTGTTTAGTATCTTGGAAGAGTCTTATATGGCAAGTTTATGAAATACAGGAGGGCTCAAGAGCCAAGTTTAAAGGAATGGACCTCTAGAGCTGATGTTCATGACAAGCTGCATGAACCAGTGGGTTGCTATTCCAAATCTAGTCTCAAATATTAATTTCGCATGATTGTTGGTAATGGTTATACTTTTATACCCTTGCAACTAGCAGGTTCGCATTGCTGTGGTGGGGAAATATACAGACCTTTCAGATTCTTACCTGTCTGTTCTAAAGGTAGACTAAACTGTAACTTCGTTCATTGTATACCTGAATTCTTGTGTCGGCATAACTTGACCATTTAGGGAAAAAAAGTGTCTTTTGCTCTATGATTCCATCAAATGGCTTAAGAATAGACGCAAAAGAATGAGTTTTTGAACTTTCGTCATGACTGCAGGCATTGGTTCATTCCTCTGTTCATTGGCGCAAGAAACTTTTTGTGGATTGGATTCCGGCTAGCGACCTTGAGGAAGCAACAAAAAGAGAGGTTACTTAATGTTTCGATTTCTTTTGCCTAAACGATTGTTACTTCTTTTCCCTGATCCTGACAGTGACTGTTGTTCTGGTTTAATGTTGCAGAATCCAGATTCTTTCAAGGCTGCATGGAAGTTATTGAAGGTTCCTCTTAGACGTTTGAAATGAGCCACTTGTGTTACTTTAGTTATAATCTTCTCTCTTCAGTTGCATAACTTTACTAATATTTGGCTTCAGGGAGCTGATGGTGTCCTTGTTCCTGGAGGATTTGGAGACAGGGGAGTGGAAGGGAAAATTCTTGCAGCTAAATACTCTCGCGAAAACAGAATTCCGTTCCTTGGCATTTGTCTTGGAATGCAAGTTGCTGTCATAGAGTTTGCGAGATCTGTTCTCGGCGTACAAGATGCCAATAGCACTGAATTTGATCCTAATGCAAAGAATCCATATGTCATATTTATGCCCGAGGTCCATATTTATGTTTCTGTCTTAATGCTAAGGGGGTAAGTCAAAATGTCACTTTTTTCCTGATTGTGGGAATTTTTTTTAAATGCTTGCGTAGGGATCAACGACACATATGGGAGGCACCATGCGTCTTGGCTCTAGGAGGACATATTTCCAAGTCAATGACTGCAAATCTGCAAAATTGTAAGTGTTAATTATACCATTGAACATATTAATAAAAGTGGGGACCATATTTTTTGTGCTTATAACTGGCAATGAGAGCAATTTAACTACTTCAGCATGAGTTCTATTTATTGGGTTGCTGATCCTTTTCCTTTCCGAATAGATATGGATGCAAAAAATTCATTGATGAGAGACACCGACATAGATACGAGGTATTAGAATCCTTATGCATTAAATTACCTTACAAAATTATTTTGGACAGAAAAGTGACACTGTTCTAATGCAGGTGAATCCTGATCTGGTTGCAAAACTCGAAAATGCCGGCCTTTCTTTTACCGGGAAGGATGAAACTGGCCGACGCATGGAGGTGTGGTTGCAACATATACATATATTTTGTTACAAACTACTGAATTATTTAACAAATCTGCATAGGTTCTGAAGTATTATTTGTTTCTTCATGTCACAGATCGTTGAACTACCAAATCATCCTTTTTATATTGGTGTTCAGTTCCACCCTGAATTTAAATCAAGACCTGGAAAGCCTTCTCCTTTGTTCTCAGGTAGCTCTCCAGTGAATGCCGGTTTCTCCTTCTTGAAAGTTGGCATTTTCATCAATTCACAGACTATTCCATTTTTGAAATCCTTTTATCTGTTTCCTTTTTTCCTATTTTAAAAGCATTTTTATTCTGTTTCTGCTTATCTAACCTCTGGCTTGCTTCTTGATGCTGTGAAATATATATAGGGCTTATAGCAGCTGCATGTGGACAACTGGATGGTGTTTTACAAGAGGCTTCTAAAGGAGCAGGAACTGAGATCTGTACAGCCAGAGTATTCCAAAACAAAATCCCAAAGAAGTCGGCTTTTGGGTCGAGAGACTATGTCTATGGAAGCTGCAATGGGTTGCGTTTTTGAAAGCCAGTGTGTTTGGTCTTGGTATTCTCTAGTGATTTTTAGTGGCTTGTATGTACAGTGCAGTGCAGTACAGTCATTGGACATAGGTAGGAAGAAGAAAATTTAAATACAGAAGAAGAGAGTTAGATCCCCTGTGGTTTTTTTAGGGGATATATCTCGTTTAGGTTTTTACAATGGTTTCTCTCAGTGGTTTTAAGTCTTGTGAGTTTCCTTGGTCCAATGTTCTAGCAAACTATCAACTCCTTGTTCATCAGAGTTCTGATGCTGTTTATAAAGAATTTCTCCTTCAATTTACCATCTTTGTTTAAGTGGCCTTCGTGTGAGTGAGTTTGAATCCAATGACTTGGATATATATTGTAATTTGTGTCTAAATTATACATAAGCCCTTTGAACTTTGATCTATGTGTAAACAACCCCCTTTGTTCTCAAAACATAAGGAGCCCCACTGAATTTCAGTTTTGTATAAATAACTCGTTTGTCATGATTATCATGTTAGGGTTTTTTTTTTTTTTTAGTATAACTTAAAGTATTCTTAAGTCACTTTAGACTTGAGACTAATTTTTCTCAGGCTAGGAGTATTAAAGTTAAAGTCCTCCCAACAAGTACGCTTCCGGAGATTCGGACTTGTGTTCTCTTCTTTATCGGGGGTGTGAAACCGCTCACGACCTCAACTAGTAACTTTTAAAGAACCTTCTTCTATACTTATGCTATATAATTTTAAAGGGAAAAAAAATGAAAATATTGGTTACAAAAGTGAGTTATTTACAAATTGCGTTCCTTCTTCCCCCTCCTCTTTGGCATGTGGTTTCTACAAAGTCCCGGAGAAAGTTTTCACTCACGATCTCCCTTCCTACGGCCTTTGGAGTTGCTCGTTGGAAACAAGTTTCGGTCTCTTGAACTATCAGACCATTAATATTTTTCCTCCAGGGGACACCATTCTGGTTTTTGCTATTCATCTTAAGAATGCAGAGGCTTCTTTCTATTATTTGATCAAGTCTAACCTTCAAAAGTCTGTTTGAAGCATCCATCGGACCAAGTCGCACCTTGGTTGGATAATGTGTAATTCTGATGGCGCTTTCAAAAATCACAATATTCCCGGCGCTGGTGGCATAATCTTGGATCCAATGGTAACTGGATATAAAATGTATCATTTGTGATATAGGACGTTGTAGTATAACACAAGCTGAATTGTGGGCCATTTTTAATACTCTCCAGCTTGCTTGGGAAATGGGATTTAGACGTCTTTAGAGTGATGCTAAGTGTGTCCTGTGTTTTATCCAAGCATTTCGGATTAATTTCTTGCACCAAGGAATTGCTGCAAAGGGAGTGGATTGTAGAAATCTTGCAAGCTTCTTGGGAAGGCAATTGATTCCCTTGCTAATATAACCTAGCGTTGCATAAGAGCTTGGGTTTGCATATTCTCTACTCTCCGCCAAATCTTTTAACACTTCCAAATGATGACTGTATAAGTCTTCCTTGCTTGTGTACAAGTTAATGCCTTCTAGAATTTCCCCCTCATCAAAAAGGAAAAATAAAAGTTTAGGAAATTCATTATAGAGTTAAGAAGGCAAAAGAGATTGTGCATAATAATTTATATAATTATTTTGGTAAGAGTTAATATTGGGTTATATCAAGTCCATCCCTTGATTGATTAAGGCTCAGTAAGTGAGGCGTATTTTAAAATATGGGTTTTATGATGTAGTTTTCTCTTTTTCTTTCAAAATATCAAATAGTTGTTAGGGATATGATTATGGGGATAAGAGGACAAGGAGGGAGTTAGTTTAATATCTCATTCATAGCTCCCAGAGAACATAATACTCTCTTCCTTTCAAAAGGATGATGATCTAATAGTATACATGATAAAAATTGTGAGGACAAGTGGAGAATCAGGTATATAGTTTAATATCCCATTCATAACTCCTAAAGAACATAATACTCTTCCTCTCAAAAGGATGATGATCTAATTCTATCCCTGCCAAATTGTGATTGATTATATTAGTTGTTATTTGTATCTAGATCATTGAGACATTTGTACTCATCTCTTTAATATTTTTTAGCTGAAGGTTCGAGTAGGAACCAAAGAAGGCACCATAGTAATGAGTTTAAGGCTTTTTTCATGCTCATTTTGTTTGGTGCATGCTTGCTTCACATGTTTAATTTTTCCATGCCTATAGGACGTGCCCTTTTTTTTTATTTTGGATAAACAAACTTTAGGTAAGGATTCAAACAAGAGCTTGATCTAGCTCATCTTAGATCATATCATATTGGGCATGGCAAACCTACAATAGACCCTCAGGGATTTACCTTATCACTCCTAGACTTCCCTAAGTATTGCGACAGGGTATTGAACCGCCTCCTTTTTTGTTGAGAAGGTGTGATTCTTAACACTGAACCCATGAATGATGGGTTATAGGATGTGTCTTTTGGTTTCGATTTTTGACTGTACTTGATTTATACAATGACTTTAGGATACTAAGTTATGGTTTGAAAACTCTCTAGACTTTATATTTCGAGTTTAGTCTTAAGATGATTTTATTTTTGCCTATTAAGTATGCATATTTCTTTTAACTATAGTAGACTTTTGGTAAATCTAGATTTATCTTTTTTGCCATGGTTAATTTTATCAATTGGATTTCAAATTTTTTGACCATAGTTTCAAAATATTACCATGAATGTGTAGAGAAGGAAAATACAATTAAAATGACACCAAGAACATTAAAATATGAGATTACAGATATGCTAGAAAATGAGGAGATAAGGTGTAAGGTTTGATGGACTTGACTGATGCTCTAATTAGGTTAGAGCAACCCAACTAGAGATTAAAGATGACTAAAATACCTATCCCAAATGACACTTTTTTGCTAGAATGGTGCTTCTCCGGGGTTTCAGTGAAATAATGCATTTCACAAACATTTAAAAAGAAAAGAATATTGCATCTTGAAAAATAAAAAGAGGGTTGTTTGGGTTGTACTTACCAAGACAATTTGATGAACAAGCATGAACTCATATCAAAGCTTTGATGATGAGTAGTCTATGTCACACTATGAGAGAACATTCTGACTAGGTTTGAATAGGTTTAACTCTATACTTTCACATGACACATTAAGACCTTAAGGTGGTACAACATTTGACTTGGCTTAACATGGGGAATATGAGAAATCAGTCACAAAGATATATTCGACAATATTATTATTTGAGTATTCCTACATAACAACTTCTTTTTTAGTTTTGTTAGCATCACAACATTGGATTTAACCATTTAAAGAGAGGGCGAGTGAGAAAGAGAATGAGTAGGTAAAAAACGAGAGAAAGAGTGACAAAAAGAGATAAGATACAAATGTAATTAATTGAGGGTAAGAATGAAAAAAGTGTATTAAATATTTAGACATCTTTGAAGTGTAGCTTATAAAAAGGACTAGAACCATTCAAAAATTTGTAGCTTATGACTAAAAAGAATATTAAAGCACTACAAAGATATTCATCTAATGAGAGAAAACTTGGTGGCCAAAAAAAAAAATAATGTAAGAAAAATGACTCAATAAATAATTTAAAATTAATAAAAGTGTCATAATTACCATGTATTGATGTAACAACTATTAATAGTAGCTATTCTTGACCTTCTAAAAAATATATATGAGACACATTATAATCAAATTGTATATTTTCTTCAATACTATTTTCAACAAAATCAATAACACTAATAAGTTGAATGAATTGGAAATTAATAAATGTGAAAAAAAAACTTGTCTCAATGAATGATTTGAAATTAATAAAAGCCTCATGATTCCTAAACAACCCCTTTAGACCTGAAAAAAATGCATAAAAATCATTATGGCTAAGAATGTAATAAGTTTTTTCTATTACCAAATACTTAGTCATTTCAAATCTTTTAACTAACTACTATGGTAGAAAAGGAATAAACTCAATAGAGTTCTACTATAGTAGAAAAGAATTTGACTTCACATTTTAAAACTTAACCATGGTAGAAATTAAAAAAGAGTTTAACTTCATATTCAAAATGGTTGATCCACTGAGTCACACATAATCCAAAAGGCCTTTAGCTTACTACTAGCATTTTACCTAGAAACAAGAAATTTAGAAGCTATGTCAAATACTAATTCTCAAAAGTAATTGGAGTATGCAAATGAGCCTTAAAAGGCAATATACAAGTATTTAGCACATAACAAGGAAGGAGGTAATATAAATATACACAAATATCTAAGCCTTTCAAGCTTTCCCTAATAGACCAACATGAGAGCTGTCACCTGAAATTTTAAATCACCGGGATAAGGCCAATGTCTTAGTAACTAATGGTCTAACTCATCATATATATCATTATGTGCTCGTAATATGTTAAGTAGGACATTGATAACAATTACGGGATATAGATTTATATCAAATTCATAACATCAATGTATTGAGGATTTACCCCAATTACCTATCATAAATCCTTTGTAACTACCTTATCTTCACCACTAAACCTATGGATTTTCGATCATATATGTGGTGTGGACTGTCAAAGGTAATAGGGTATGAAACCAAATCATGGGTTCTCCCTTGATGAAACAGAGGGGCATTGTAGCCTCTTGATGAACAAGTGGGTAGTCCCTCAATAAACCAATTGAATGAGCATGAGCAAAAAGGCTAACCATCATGCACCAACAATCTTACCATATAGTATTAGATAACATCATCATCATCAACCATCTTAAAAAACATAGGATTCTCATGATATAACTCAATGGGGTTTTATAGGATATTAGACTTAACAAGTTTTCAAGATATTCCTTGTGGCATAACACATTTCAAACTTCACATTTTACAAAACAAATCCCACAAAAACAAGAATTTCTTAATGCGATATCATAATTCATAACACTTCAAATAATAATTCATATTTTCATAAACTAAAAAGCACTTAAAGACAACATACTTATATACACAATAGATGAAAAGTGATTACTTTTTGTCAAAGTAATAGAAAATTCGATAACACTTAGTTTGATGCTCAAGTCATCACCACCATACTCAATCTATATAATTAAGATAACTACTTATTAGAGGAAAAACTAATTGAATAGTTAATCAATAAAATTAGAGGCTCTAACACCCTCTAAATATCCTAACTCTCACCACTAATCACATACAATCATTCCAATACTAACATTTCTTGCTCAACTGCTTGATTAACTCATCTAAATTATCCATTGGCTTTTAATTACTCTAATTAGTCAAAATCCCTAATTTTTCACTTAAGGTTTTAACATCAATATATCCATATGTGAAATTTAACCTTAAAACAACAATCTAAATTGATTAAACTTCATATATAAGTCATTTTAGCATAACTTGATTATTAAGCCTATTTCAAATAGTTAGGTCATCCTTATCTAACAAAGCCT